CTTCCGTGCCCCTTTTGGGCAACAGAGGGCCCCCAAGGTGTACGTATGGTGCATCTTCCTTCATCCCTCCATTTATCACCCCCCATTGCGCCACGCCTGAGCTGTTCGTCGTTTTCGGCCTCTGGGGGCCCCGGGCTGAGCCCCGGGGCCGTAGGCCCAGGCATCCCAAAGTTTAGCAAAAATTGCGACTGGAGGGCCAACACAACTGCATAAACACAAACCTTCGGAGTTCCGCGCGGATTTCTAGGATTCGCGCTGGACCCCCCCTCCCTGGCGCGCGGATCGCGCCAGGGGCGGCGCCGGAGGCGCCAGCGGCGGGGGGGGCCGCCGGGGGGGCCCAGCGCCGATCCAAGCAATCCGTGCAGACCGTCGAAAGCTTACGTTTATGCCGTTTTGCTCTTCGAGAAACTGCAGCTCTTCGCGGTTTTCTGCCTCCAAGAGGTCCTGCCCAGCCCCTGAGGCCGCCAGGAAACGGCGCAGGCTGAGGGGTCAGCCCTGGGGGAAGGGTCGGGACGTCTGGGAGCCGCGCACGGAACGATGCAGGACGTCGGACGACTGGTTTCTCGGCGTTGAGGAAGGTGGTCCTGGAATTGTCAGTTGTTTTCGAGCCTGCGCCTCTTCCTGCTCCTCATCTTTCCCCTCCTCCTCCCCCCCTCCCCCGTGTCTTTCCCCGACGCAGCCCGTCCGAAGCGGCTTGAAAAATCCACACCGCCCACTGCTCTCAGGCCAAACTCGAGCTCGCAATCAGTCGCTGGGAGTGTATGTGTTTGTGTATGGGGGGGGCTGGCGAGAACCACCCCACCACTACCCAGAGCACAGGAGCCGCACCGCTGCCGACGGGGCCCAAGAGAAGCGATCTCTCTCTCTCTCTCTCTCTATATATATATATATATAGAAAGTCGGGCGTGTCCATCTACAGGGGGATTCTCGACGAACAATAAAAAAACCCAAACATGCTCCACAATGGCCAAGAAGTGCTCAAGAAATAGTCCCCCGACTATTTTTGACTATTTTTGAATATTCCTCCTGTAGAGGGACAGGCCCGACTTAAATATATACACACATGTATGTGTGTGTATATATACACATACATACATATACATATATGTACACAGACAGAGAGAGAGAGAGAGAGAGAGATAGAGGAAGAGTCGCTGGCACCTCTCCTCCTTCAGGAGGAGGGGTGCGGGCGCCCCTCCCTCTCTCCCTCTATCCTCCCTCTCCTCCTCCCCCGCCTCGAGGGAGAGGAGCCCTTCGAGAGAGAGAGAGAGAGAGAGAGCCAGAGAGAGAGAGGGGAAGGGGCGCCGGCACACCTCCTCCTTCAGGAGGAGGAGGAGGGGTGCCCGCGCCCCTTCCTCTTTCTCTCTCTCTCTCTCGCTCCTCCCTCTCTCGCTCTCGCTCCTCCCTCTCCCCCTCCCCCTCCTCGAGGGAGAGGAGAGGAGTCCGTCGCCTCCCGCTCCCTCCTCCTTCTCGCCCCCGACGGGGCTCGGGAAGCCTGCCGCCGTTTTCTCGGGGCTTGGGGGGGGGTCACGCCCTCGGGGCCGTCCACGGAGCGGCTCTGGACGAAGAGCTGGCTCTCGCAGACATCCGACGATTTCCTCCCCATCGAGGCCCATCGGGCCATGCCGAGGGGGGGTCACCACTCGAGGGGGTCGCCCCGCTCTCGAGGAGAAACGCCGCTGCCTCGAGGAAGGGGGCTCCCAAGAGCTCTCCAACGCCTTCGCAAACTCGGGGGCGTGCAAACATGGATTAGCGATCCATGGGTTTGGCGCGCGGTCGCCAAATCCATGGATCGCCGGAGGTGCCCTCTCCAAAATGCGGCCGGTGCCGCCTCGTTCGGCGGCGGAAATCCGCGATTTCATATGGAAGCGGGACCCGTCGCTAATCCACGCCCCCTTCATCCATGTTTGCGATCGCCTGACAAACGGCCCCGAACGTGCAAACACCTCCTCGAGCCTGGAGTTCGAAGCCTCGACTTCCAGGGGGAGCCGGTGACCCCCAGGTGGAGGCCCCCCTCTGGCACGGCTCGGTTTAAAATGCCTGGACCCCTTCCTGGAGACCACAAGCCTCGCCAAAAATAAACAGGAGACTTCTCGATTCGGTGACTGTGGGGTCAGCGCTACTCCACTGCTGACGGATGCCTGTTGGCTCGGACGACGCGGTTTTGTCAAAAAACCGACCCCACCCTCTCAACATTGAAGATCGCGCTGTCTGACAGGTGCCCGGAAGCATCGTGCTCCAGGATTTCAACTTCCGTTTCTGGATGTTTTTGACGAGGCTTGTAGCGGGGGGCCCGATCGATGCAGGACAGCGCTGCGGAGGGAGCGGAGAGTGACATAAGCATAAAAACTCGAAGGCCCGCGCGGATTTCTCGGATCCGCGCGTGCCGACTCGTCTGCCAGGCGGGCTCCCGGGGCTCTCGGGGCCATAGGGAGGACCCCGAGAGGCTCTCGGGGCCCTCCCCATGGCCCCGAGGGCCTCTCGGTGGTCTCCGAATGAGGCAATGCAATGCCACCGTGTAGTAAATATAAAAAACCCAAATTTACAGTAACCCATTTAAGACGTAGTTCAATTTCGACAGTCGTCCTGGCAACCTCTTTGGCCATTTAACTCTTTTGGCGAAGCGTATTTTACAACCGAGAGCCTGGCAGCGGCGGAGGCCCTCAGTGCTCGCTTTCCTCGAGTACCCATTCGGGGGAACGAAGAATGGCATAAGCACAAAAACCCTGAGGTCCGCGCGGATTTCTCGAATCCGCGCTGGGGCCCCCTGGCGGCGCCTCCGGCGCCGCCCCTGGCGCGCTCCGCGCGCCAGGGAGAGGGGTCCAGCGCCGATCCGAGAAATCCGCGCGGACCTCCGAATTTTATGCTTATGTCATTCTTCGTTCCCCTAGGTGCGCTCCTGCCAACTTCCTGCGCCACCCTTGCGCGCCAAAGGCGCTTCCGTGACACATTCCCGCGGCCTTCCTGCGCGCTGCCGAAATGCCCTTTGCCAGACATCCCGAGAGATCCGATGCCATGCTCCTTTCAATACGGGGGCTCCCGGAGAACTCCAGACCAAAACCCAAGGCCGGCTTCTCCTCTCGAATAATAATGTTGACGGCCCTAGGTGTCCGGCGAGGGCCCCTGGGGGCTGAAAACGGTTGAAAAACCGCCTTCTTGATTTATTCCAGCCGCTGGATGTCTGAAGAAGTACCTGTTGCTAGGTACCCCTCTGGGTGGCGCTGACACGCTTCCGCGCGCTCAAGGTCGTGGGGCCGCAGCTGGCCCCACGCACGATGCGCGAGGGGGGGGGCAGGGGGCCAGGACGCGTCGGGCGCACGGCCACCGACGGGCCCCCGGCGCGGCGTCTTGTTGAAAGACTGAAGAGCGGCGGCCTTGGTCGTCGTTTGGCTTGGGGCTGCACACGGACAGCCCCCCCGAGGCAACCCCGGCTGGGCTGGCCGGGCCCCCCCGGCGGGTCTGGGGCGGTCGCGGTGGCGCTCCGCGCCCGAGGGCCGGGGCGCTGGGACCGCCTCGGACTGCTCTGGGCGACTGCTCGGGGCATGGCCAGGACCGCCTCGGGGTGTTGAGCAGGGACCGACCGTTCCGGCATTCTGTTGTTAGAACCCAAGAATGTTCTAAGAACAAAAACAATGTTCTTAGAACATTATCCCAGTGCGACCCTACCTAGGAATTGGAGCCTCTAGGAAAGCAACATTGGTAGGATCGGTAAACGCCGTCCTCCTCCTTCTCCTCATCGACGTAGTAGTAGCACGTGCGCACACACATATAAGTACATATCAACATCTATATATATATATAGCAGCAGCAATAGTGGATGCTGTGCTGCGCTATGCTATTCTATGTTATGCTATGCTATGCTATGCTGCGCAATGCTATGCTGGGCTAGGCCAGGCTAGGCTATGCTATGCTGCGTTATGCTGTGCTGCGCTGCGTTGTGCTGTGCTATGCTATGCTATGCTATGCTTTTGCTTTGCCTTCGCTTTTGCCTTCACTTTTGCCTTTGCTTTTGCTTTTGCTTGGCACCCAAGGAGCGCAACTGGGGGAACCGCGCGTTTGCTTTTACCTTTGATGTTGCTTTTGCTTGGCTCCCAAGGGACCGGGGGAACCGCCCGGGGCGGGTTCCACTGCCCGGCCCCTTTAAGCAAAGAAAGTAAGAACCCTTCTAGGCAGAGCCTAGGTAGGGAATAAGCCCGATGTGCTAAAACAAGACAGAGTCCGCCAGAAATGTTCTGAGAACATTTCGTGGGAACCACAAGCAGCTCTTAGAACATTGCTTGGCAGGGCTGTAGGCGAGCCAGGACGCTCCGCCTCTGCTTGAGGGCGGCTGTGCTGCGCGCAGCTCCGGGCCTCGCCATCTCCGGCCTTCCGGGGGCCGGCGCCGACTCCAGGCCGGCAGCAGCCGCCTCGGGGAGAGAGGAGGAGCCCTCCCGGGGCAGAGGGTCTGGACCTCGGGGGGGGGCCACCAGCCTGGAACATATCCCTATCCCTAAGCTGGGCATCGCCTCATCACGATGCCACTCTTGGGGATTCCCTCAGTTTTTTCAGGGCGCATCCCTAAGATTGTCACCGCCTTTGGGCGTGTCAATCTTAGGGATAGGGATAAGTTCGAGGCTGGTGGGGGGGGGCCTTAGCGAACAGATCAACGCCTCGGAAGTCGGGGGCTGCCATCGGGCCACGAAGCGGAGGTCCACACGCGCCTCCTCGAGGCCCCCCGTGCGCCTCGAGAGCTGCTGCTGGCGACCGGCGGATGCGTCGGGCGAGCAATGACGCGCGCGTGCGATCGACACGCTCGATGTCAGCGAGCTGCGAGAAAACAGCCGCCGCAGGGGTGCGGCAACCAGCCTGGAGACAGATGTCGGGCTCGCACAAGCACCAGAAGGCACGAATGGCATTTGGAATCTCCTGGTGGCGCGGAGAATGGAGCACCATCTGCTGCATCTGTCCCCCAGAACGCGGCGCTACGGTGATGACAATCAAGACGGTGCAGGCGACGGATCCTCTCTGCTCTTCTGCAGCAGGTAGACGACATAGCAGCCGCAGAACATCGCCACGCCCACGTGAATCTCCTGTGAGGCTTCCCCGCGCTCCCACCAGCAGCTGTCGGAAATCAGTGGAGGACAATACCCTTCGAGCAGATCGTGTTTGTTTTGCAGGGTGCGCCCAAGTAGGAGCTCCTGAATGAAAGTTGCGCGCCAGGACTGTGCAGTAATTAGGGTTGCTCCCGAATCCACTGCCCTTCCCATGACATGCACTCTCTGGGGTCTGGGCAGCGTTGCCGTCACTGTCGGCATCATCGCCACGACCTGTCGTCACCACCATCATCACCGCGCTCTGCTGTCACCATCATACCTCCCATGCCCCCCGATTCCTTCGGGGCTCCCAAACGGTGTTCGTGGCCACAGGTGCACCCAACTTACCGCGCCATTCTGGAGCTGCTGGGGCCCTCTGGGCGTCTTGAGGGGCGCTCTGGAGGCCTTGGGGGCCTCCCTTGAAACCCTGTAGGCGCCTTGGGCCAGAGACACTTGTGGCAACGCCCGAATCTTTTGGATCATGCAGGCCTGCGATGAAGATACACCGCTCCAGAACGGTCTGGAACGCTCCCAGAGCGTTTTTGAGCACCCTAGGACGGCTGCGGCGCCCGGCGCATCTTCCAGACCTGCCGACTCAAAACAATGCCCTAAACATCCATATCCGACTCCATCATCACCCGGACTTCGCCCTACTGGGTTCCCCAGAATCGGCGGCGAGCCGAGGAGGGAGTGAAGCGGGGGCGTGGCCTTCTCAGAAGGCTCCGAGGGTCTCGGGCCTCCCGAGAAGCGTTTCTGAGCCTTCTCCGAAGACAGAGAGAGCGGCGAAGTCATTGAAGGGATGACTCGCGCCTCTCTGGGCCCTGTTGGGAGGCCTCTTCGAGCCCTCGTGTGCCGCCTTGGGGCTCTTAGGGCTGCATTGGGACGGTCTTTGGCCCCGTTGGAGCGCTGTGGGACCGTCGAGGGGCTCTCGCGGGCCTCTGTGAGGGCATCGTGCGGGTATCCGAATCCGTCTGGGAGGCCTCCTCTTGGGGCAATCGGACCCACCATGGAAATTTGGGTTGCCAACTTGGGCCCCCTTCGGGTCTGCCCCATGTTTTAATCTGCCTTATAAACATCGAGATGTGCAAAGACACATGTGTATAAATGTATATCTATATGTGTATATATATATATTGATATGCGCATTTCTGTCACAAGAGAAGTGTGTTCACATATGTGTGTATATATAACACAAATATAGACATACACGTAAACACACGTGTAAGTTGGTGTATATAGACGTACGATATGCTATGTACTTTCGGAGCCCCGCGCAGACTTCTTGGATCGGCGCTGGATCCCCCTGGCGGCACCTCCGGCGCCGCAGCTGGCGAGCCTCGCGCGCCAAAGGAGGGGGGGTCAGCGTCGACCAAGGAACCCTGCTTCGAAGAAAAACGCCATGAAACAGAAGCTTTTGGGCGCTCCGCGCGGATCTCTTGGATCCGCGCTGGGCTCCGCGCGTCAGGGGGGGGGGTCCAGCGCAGATCCAAGGAATCCGCGCGGAGCGCCAACAGTTTCTGTTTCTGGCGTCTGTTCTTCGTTTAGTGCTGTGCCCTCATATTCTCCGAGGCAGAGATGGTATTTACAGTGCACATAGGAACTGCTCAGAACACCCTTCAGAAACCAGAGCTGGCAGATGGAACTTGTTCTTTGGAGAACGAATCCTGGGGGCCGTATTCGGGTTCTGGGAGCACCTAGCGTTGATCCGGACGACAAGCTTCTCTTGTCCAAGTCTTTGGGGCGCGCGGCAGTCCGTCGGGGGTCTGAGTCTGGTCGGGTTCCAGCCCCTCCCTGCTGCTCCTTCTTTAGCTTTAAGCTTTCCCTGCTGCTCCTCCTCCTCCTCCTCCTTCTCCTCCTCTTCTTCCTCCATCGCTCCCCTGCGGGGGGTGGGAGGAGAAGACATGGAAAGGGCGGGGGGGCGCACAGGGGCAGGGCGGAGCGAGGGGACAGACGCATAGAGGGGGAAGGACGGAGTGACGGAGGGAGGAGAGGGAGGGACCAGGGGCGGGGGGGTCGGAGGGCGGAGGAAGGAGGGCAGGGGGAGGGCGGAGTGACGGGGGAAGGACTGAGAAGGAAAGGGCGGGAGAGAGGGGAAGGGCAGGGGCCGATAGGGGGAGCATATAACAGAGGAGGGCAAGGGACGGGAGGTGAAGATCGCTTTGACATCAACAACTGCATGCCCTCGTCGCTTTGACGTCAACCGGGGAGAGCAAGACAGAACAACTCCTCTCTCTCTCTCTTTCTGCTGCGGATGCCTGCCTTTTAAAACGCATTGCCAAGCAATCCTGCCCGAATGTTCAGCGGCCCTTTTTGAGAGGATTTGATCATGACGTCAGCACAAACTGTGGACGGCTCACGCGGGATTTCTCGGATCTGCACCGGGCCCCCCTCCCTGGCGCGCGGACCTTGCCGGGGATCGCGCCGGGGGCGCCGCCAGGAGGACTTCTCAGCGCCGCCTTCGAGGAATCCGCGCGTTGGCCTCCAGAGGTTAGTGCTTCTGTAGTTCTCTGTGCTTCGGTTCTTGGCCTCCTTTGGACCCTGCCAAATGTTTTTTGTTTTGTTATTATTTTGTTCTTCGCACTTTTTCGTTATCCATGCAATTTTGGGGAGGAGAAGGGGGAAAGCTGCGGGGGCGACGCGGACAGAACGGATGACCACGCGAGCCGTCAAAGCTGGCACCAGGGCAGCTTAAGGAAGCACCCATGGCAAAAGTGAGACATCTTGGAAGTCTGGCCATGCTCTCTTGGTAGTCCCCAAACGTGGTGGTGACAACACCCGGCGGTGAGTCCTGGGCTATTTGGTGTCACCACCGGGTTTGGGGACTCGTGTGGTTTTTCCAGGATGTACCATGTACCGAACGCTGGTGGATCCAATAATCACACGACCCGACGGTGACCCCGTGTCCTGAAACCCGGCGGTGACTTTGTAGGGATTCCAAATCACTTTTTGGAGGAGAAAGAAGAAAGCTGAGGGGACGAAGCGGGCAGAACGGATGACCACGCGAGCCGTTTAAACTGGCACCAGGGCGAAGCACGCATACCAAAACATCTTGAACGTCTGGCCATGCTCTCGGAGCCCCTGCCTAGTGCTGTGATTAGGTCGGGCATGTCCTCCTACGGGCGGATGTTGGACAAGAACGGAAAATGGTTGAACAAAACTCAAATTATGGAGAAAGGATGGACTCATCGTCCCGAGTCCCCAGACTACTTTTTGACTAGTTTTGAATATTCCTCCTGTAATGGTCGGCGGTGGACAAACCTCCCTTTCGTAAACCACCCTTCAGTGAAAACGGCCCAGGACCGAAACCGACGGACCTGGGCCCGCAAGAATAGCGGCCGTGACGCCCTCTCGCGAACCGAAAACGGCCAATTCACGAATAAACGTGTCAGGGGAGGAGGAGGAGGAGGAGGAGGAGGAGGAGGAGGAGGAGGAGGAGGAGGCGGAGGCGGAGGAGGAGGAGGAGGAGGAGGAGGAGGAGGAAGAAGTCTATCGCCCTCCGACATGGGACGTGCCCGACTTCAAGGCCATGGCCGCAGGGCCGGAGGGTCGGAGGCGCGCCAGGCGGGAGGACACGGAGGAGGCCCACGGCGCGCCTCCTCGCTGCCATTACTGGGGACTCCGCCGCGCGGGTATGTGCGCAAGCCGGGAGAGAGAGAGAGAGAGAGAGAGAGCAATCGTACTGTACGCAGGCCACTCTTCACACCTTGTCTAGTCGGCTGCACGCAAGAGTGATCCTGGGTAAGAGTGGCCTCTGGTGCGCAGCTGTTGGGCGGCCGCGGGGAGACCAAACCTGGGCGCGCAAGCCGCTGCTACCGCTTCGTTTTCAGCCATCTGGGGGCCCATCTGTGCCCGCACCAAAGGTCACTCCGGCGAAAGGCCACTCTTACGTCTAGTCGATTGGACTTAGCCCACCGGGGATGCCGCGGCCGACTCTCTCAGACGTGGCCACGCGCGCAGCACTGCTGCGAAAGAGCATGAGATGTGAGCAGCCGGGGCCTTCCCACGTGCAGGGCCAAGCGCCGCCCACGCAACGCCCAAGCTGGGAGAGAGAGAGAGAGAGAGAGAGGATCAACAACAAAAAGGTACCCCTACACGTCGGTCGGAAGAAGTAGGTAGAAACATGAAGTAGGAAGGCGGATACAGTAGATTGGGTCCAGGTCCTCCCAGAGAATAACAAAACACAGCAAACGCGTGCCGATTCTTGAAGCAGGAAGGCACTTGAAGTAGATTGGGATCTGGGAATACAAAAATACCTACTTTCAACGACCAGCGTGTACCCCTGTTGGAGGCCTGGGAATGGGCACCACCACCAACACGGGGGGCTGCCTCCACGGGGGGGGGGGGCGCGGATGATCCCAGATTTCGGTGTTAGGGGTAGTATTTCGGTCACCTTGGGAGCCAGAATAGTTCCACCACCACAGAGCGGATCTTCTTCCCTCGGTGGAGGAACACCGCCGATATTGGTGTTGGTGTCAACCTCTAGGCCTGCGACAATGAAAAAAGGCACCCCTAACCTTATGTTGTTCCCAACGTACTTAAGGACCACATCCCAGAAATCATTTCGCGCACCCCGAAGAGTGTCGAAGGAGTGTCGAAAGGGTGTCGAAACGTGAGAACCCTCGAGTTTCGGCACTTTTGCTGGTGCTCGAAGTTTTTCCTGGTGATCAAGGCTAAAGAAGGTTGGAACATCAAAACCCTAACCCTTTGGGAGGAGACTTAATTTAAGATGCCCAGAAGCATTAGGGATGAAGGGTCTTTTCTGCAGACGTATCGGACCAGGCCGCCCAGACTTATGATCCATGCGAAGACGGGGACCTTAGTGAGGCCACGTCTTCATCGTGTTGTTAGTGTTAGGGGTTCTCTTCTCCTCAACGAAGAGAGAGGCGGGGTGCGGGCTGCGTCAGAAATTCCTGCTTGCTCCGGAACTCGTGCACGTTTCCAAGGACGGAGAAGACAACAATGGTGCTCAGCAGCCACACGTCGGACAGAGCGAACGTGTTGTACCTTGGTTGGCCGACGCTCGTCCGACGGCTTCTCCCTCACCCTAGTCCTGCGCACTTACGCGGGAAGCTCGCTGACGCTTGATAGGATCTAGCAGCAAACCCGTTCGACGACATCGAATTAATTAATTACAAGGCGAAGGCCATGAACCTCATGAGCGTATCGTCCTCGTCTCATCCTCTTGGTCGCTCCTCTTCCCCCTTCTCCTCCTTGTCCTCCCTGTTCTCCTCCTCCGCCTCCAGGAGGAGTACGAGGAGGAGGAGGAGGAGGAGGAGGAGGAGGAGGAGGAGGAGGAGGAGGAGCCTTTCCCCGAGCCGCCGTGCAGGGTCAGGGGCCGCTTGAAGGAGGAGGCTGTCCTCACCGACGAGGGGCTCGACTTTGAGTACCTGGCTCACGCGCTGCCGCTGGAACCCGGCTGGGGCCGTCGCCCGTGGAGAGGCTCGCCTGCCCGAGCACACGCGTGGGGCCCCGCGGGCGCGCCCTGGGGGCCAGCACGTCATCTCGGGCGGCTCAGGGCGCAACCATGGCTGCGTCGAGCTCCGGCGATGCGGCTGGCCCGTCTCCGGGGCAAGCCAGCAGCTGGCTCCCAGGGGAGCGGCCCGCGGCGGGCTGCCGGGCGAGTTCCGCACGGTGCCGTGCGCCAAGCGCCGCGCTGGCCTCTGCGCTCGCCATGCGGGGAAGCCGTCTGTCCACCTGCACTCGGACCACCTCCCTTTTGTACATGAGGTGCAGGCCTGGTCGGGCCAGCATGAGCGGCCTCGAGGTCCGCACGCCGCAGTGTGACGGCACATCATGATGGCCGTGGGCGCCATCTCCGACAGGCCGGCGGCGGACTGTGCCAGCCCATCGTCATCTGGAGGACGTGGTCGTGGCCCATGGCGCGCCTCACATGTACGTGGGCAACATCTGGGCCGACATCCTCGCTTAGAGCCAAGACGGGTTCGGCCGATGTCGCGGTGTCGGACGTCCTGGCACGGCGTATGGCCGGCTCGGCCAGGGTCCCCGTGTCCGCGGCCGCCACGGTGCGCGTTCAGAAGCCCACGGCCGTGGTCACCGAGCGTCGTGCTTCTGCCGCACGGCATCATCAGGCGCAGGGTCTGCCAGGGGCAGCAGCAGGCGGCGCAGACAGCTGCGCCGGCCGTCGGGCCACGGGCACTCTCATCCCCCCCCCCGTCCTCTCATCCAGCCTGGACGAGAAGGTACAGTAGGGGCCCGACCGCAAGAAACCTTCCCACAAAAAACCTAACTCTGAGACCCCAGGGCGTCCATTGGTTTTTGGTGTGTGGGGGCGTCACGCTTTCCATATCAAAGCCATGGAAGCCCAAGAAACCCAAGGCACCCTGGAGGCGAGCAATTTGTTTTCTTGGCATGGGTCTCCACTGAACGAGGAGGCCCACGACGAGGACGAGGTGGACGAGGAACCGCAGGAGCAGCTGGAGGCAGAGGCAGCGCGCCGTCGCCCCAGTTTCCTCTTGGTTCAGTGCTGGCCAGTTGGGACAGCCACACGGCGCCCAACGGCCATCCGATGGATCGCCAGATTTTGTCATCATGGTCCGTCGACGCAGCCGCCCTGTCCTACTAGCAGAGGCTTTGACACTCGGAGTGCTGCCCATCGCTGTTGGTGGAGGCCCTCTTGGTCGAGCGGGCGGGCTTTGCCTGCTTCTGCGCCGTCTGCGGCGCCTCGGCCTGGAACTCGGAGGCGAGCCGTCTCACAAAAGTTCTCAAAACCGGCGGCGCCTTGGTCCAGCCTCCAGCCCGAAATCGCGGTGGAAGGAGCTCGTACCTCGTGAAGCAGCTCCGGCGCGGGATCGACCCGTTTTGACAAGGGTGCCCCTCGAGCGTGGCCGCCCTTGGCCCGCCAGCGCCCTGCCGTCCAGCGGGTCGGAAGTTCGAGGACCCCGCCTCCTCCTCGATCCTCCTCCTCCTCCTCGATCCTCCTCCTCCTCCTCCTCCTCCTCCTCCTCCTCGATCCTCCTCCTCCTCCTCCTCCTCGCCCTCCCCCTCCCCCTCCTCCTCCTCCTCCTCCTAGCCGTTCCGCGCCCGAGCTGCCTCTCCCTGCGTGGGCTGGCCTGGGCGTTCCCGATGCGAACTTCGGAGCGGCTCTGCATCGGGGGGCCATCAAGAACCATGAACCATCAAGAAGCGGCAGCTAGCCGTGAATAGGCTCATGCAGAGGGGCCAGGATGTCCTCCTCTCCTCTCGTCCTCCCCTTTCCTTCCTCCTCCTCCTCCTCCTCCTCCTCCTCCTCCTCCTCTTCGCGAGCACCAGTTTCGCTGCGCAGCACACGGGCAACAACGCGCAGGGGCCCGACGCCTTCATCAGCTACATTGCTGAAACCAGCGTGTGCGAGAAGAGCGAGCAGCAGCAGCAGACTCAGACATGGCTCCGTGAGCTGGCGAGAGTAGAGAAACAGCCCGACGTGCTCAGATACAACGCCGGAAAGAGCGTGCCAAAACAACGGGCAGTGGCAGCAGGCGCTGGGTAGACTCCGAGACACGGAGACGAAGCTAGAGCCTGACGTCCTGCGCTGAAGCGTTGAAGCCAGCGCGTGCGAGAAGGGCGAGCAGTGGCAGCAGGCTCTGGTTGGAACGCGAGATGCTGGAGGCAAGCTGAGAGACACGTGCGTGGGGGCCACGATCAGCTACAATGCTGGGGGCAAATCGTGCGAGAAAGGGAGCGAGCAGTGGCAGCGGTCGCTGGCACTGAGCAAAACGTGCGGGTGGGCGATCAGCTGCAACGTTGGGAGCAGTCCGTGCGAGAAAGGGGGCGGGCAATGGCAGCAAACGCTGGCGCCGAGAGAAACGGGCGGGCATGCCACGATCAGCTACAACGCTGGGAGCAGTCCGTGCGAGAAAAGGCGAGGGCAGTGGCAGCGGACGCTGGTGCTGAGCGGAATGCGCGGGTGAGCGATCAGCTACAACGCTGGGAGCAGTCCGTGCGAGAACGGGCGAGCGCAGTGGCAGCGGACGCTGTTGCTGAGCGAAACGCGCGGGTGGGCCACGATCAGCTACAACGCTGAGAGCAGCCCGTGCGGGAAGGGGGGCGCGCAGTGGCCGTGGATGAGGGGAATGCACCCCGCAGACCCTGGCGCTGCGAGAAAACGGCTGCGAGAAGTGGGAGGCGATGATAGAGCCCAACGGCGTCTAACTAACTCCGCTAGGAACAATCGTTCACGAAAACACAGGGGCGTACATCACCAACTACAGTGCTGGGATCCGCTCGTGTGCGGAAGGCTGGGCAGCAATCGTGCGAGGCAGGGTTACAGTGCATCGGGAGCCAGTCGAACGCCTCTTGCGAGAAGCGGGGGGCGAAGCTGGAGCCGTATATCGTAGAGAGGACCTGAGCCAGCCTCTTGCGACAAGCGGGGGGCGAAGCTGGAGCCTAATTTCGTCGGACGCGTTCTCCGCCGAAGGGTTGAGATCAAGTCATGCGAGAACACTTCGGGGATCGTGGGGGCAGGCAGGATCTCAGCTACAGTGCGGGGATCGGGTCGTGCGAGAACCAAGGCAGTGGCAGCATCTGTTGCCGCGGGCATCCGATGAGCCAATCTAGGCTACAGTGCCGAGATCAGCTCGCGGAATATTTTGTGAGAGAAGCCCCTTTGAGGCAAGCCCTCAGAGGGCACGGCGTTCTGGCTCGGCTCGGGGGCGGCCCGATGCGGCCAGGACGACCCGCGGCGCGATTCCATGGGGCATCGTGCTCGTTCGATTATCAGAATTCAGCAGAATCCTCCTCCTCCTCTTCCTCTTCTTCCTCCTTTTCCTCCTCCTCCCCCCCCATCCTCCTCCTCCTCCTCCTGATCTGGCCTGGCTCCTCCTGGCTGCGGGCTGCGGCTTCCTGGAGCTGCCCGTGGGCCTCGAAGCGGGCCAGGCCCCGCCCAGGAGTGCTGGCTGGCTGCTGCCGCCTCGTGACGAGGGCCTCCTTCTCCTCCTCCTCCTCCTGCTCCTCCTCCTCCCCCCTCTTTCTTCCTCCCGCTCCTCCTCCTCCTCCTCCTCCTCCTCCTCCTCTGGAAAGCACTGGGTGCCGGCATACGTAATACCTGTACGACCAACCTTCGGGTGATAATGAGGTTCGGTGGGTGGGGGAGGAACCAACGTTTCACTCAATCTCTATCTTACGATCGATCTCGCTATATATATATATATATATATATATGTTCAGATTTCACTACCGGGACCACCCTATGAGTGATAAGGAGGTTGGGGGGGAAGGGGGAGGCGGTCGATGTGCGCTGACTCCCACCTGCCGCCACCAAAGAGTGCACGGGCAAATAAATACAACCTACGCCCGCTTGCTCCTAAATAATATATCGATGTTCATGCTTTTACACATATATATACATATCCATCAATCGATATATCTGTCTATCGAATCGACACATCAATCAGTATACCTATCTATCTACCAACCAATCAATATATCCATCGAATCGACCACCAACAGATCTATCTTTCTACCTATTTGTCGGGACAACCATTGGGGCAACCTTCCGCTCATATCCCCCAACCTCCGATCTATCTATCTATCTACCTATCTACCTATCTGTATATATATATATATATATATATGTATGTAGCTATCCACCTACCTATATATCTATCCATCTATGCTCTATCTATATATATATATATATATATCGACCTCTCTATCGGGTCAACCGTCGGGACACCCATCGTGACAACCATCGGGGGCCGCGCCAAATGGGGGGGGGGGCGGGCGACCTTTTGGGCTTCATGTGGCCTCTACAAGTGCAGGAACTCGCGCAACTTCGCCTCTCCCGCACGCACGACACGAACCGAAACCGAAACCAATTTCCCGGTTGGGGTCGCTTCCGTTCACACCCCCCAACCTCCGATCGATCTTACGATCGATATCACTACCAACCACACAATCGATCACACGATAGATCTCTTTTACCGATTTCACTATCAATCTCACTTCGATCTGAATACGGGACACCGACGGGACACCGACAGGACATCGAAGGGACACCGACGGGACAT